AGTTATTTAAGCTTAAAGTTTCAAAAAAATTTACTTAGAAAAAATTTGGTGCGTTTCTATTGACTCACCCCCATATATCAAAATTCATTTTGCGGATCTTATAAAAAATTTTTAATGAGTTACTCCATTGTCGTGTGTCCAGCTTAAGTCAAGGCCAAGATGAAGAATAATCTGCATCAAAGATTTCAAACAGTCTTTTTCTTCGGAACACTTACGATTATTGAATGACCATTTTCATAATTTGATATTTAGTGTAATACAATAAGTTTTTTTTTTATACAAATATTTAACATCATTTGATCATTAGCAAATAGCGGCTACTGATTTTCACAAGATATTCTCATTTACTGTTACACTCCATCAAATCCTAAAAAAAAAAAAAATAATGGTAAATGTTGTGGTGTATTCCGATATCGAGATTGTGTGTACGTAGTATGAAATTCCCAAATTTTATTCTTTTACAATGATTATTTTTCCCGTTGACATTAGAAATTTACACTTAGGGTTATGGAAATAGTGTGACATTACACATGGTTTTGACATTGTAAAATGAAATTATGTTGAATGAAGTACTAAATAAAAAATATGTCGAATGAAGTACTAAATAAAAAAACAAAAGCAAGATTACATACTTGCACAGTCACACGTCACGCACCAAAATCCTCGGCCCTTCAACAATGTCGGAAATTAATGCCGTTAATGTTTAAAACAAACACAACACAGTAATTGAACCCAAGAATAAGCGTGACGTTTTGAAGCCACTTTTCTATTTTCAACCTACATAACATTTAAGTCTTTCAAGATCTAGATAAGGTCCCTATCCAGCAGGATTATACATTAATTTACGTTAAAAATAACGAACTGTGCAAAAGGTCTTCAACTCTGCAAAAAATAAATGCGCACATGTTCTCTTCCATAGTTATCTAAAAATTGTCGGTTGTGTTAGGTTCCTTGAAATAAAAATACATAATTTGGGGTTAGTTGAAAATTACATATAAATTAAATTGTAATATATAATGTAATATAATATTAATAGTGAATTGGCACTGACTACGATTGCGCTTTTACCAGTATTATTATAAATCTATAATTGCATTAGTGTTATGAACTACCGCTACGTATAATTTTATATTGAAAGGTTCGGAAAACTTGCACAAAAATACGTAGATTACACAATATTACAATATATGCACTCAATTTGGCTTAATTTTTTTTCAGATTTTCATCAAATAAAATGATTTGAAAACTTTCTCGTTATGTAACAACTAAAGCCAGTTTAAAAATGAACATCCTTACCTAATCATTGGCATTCAGAATTATTATTGAAATACGAGTACATATCGGTATACATTTTCTTTTTTTTTTGGATTTCACAGATTACCAAATTTTTTTTTCTTTTAAAATTTAATATAATTACGAAATAAAAAATAATAACGAAGTTAGGTTTTTTGCGTTAGTATTTATCCATCTTAACTACTACGTTTTTGAACAAAAAAAAAAATTATTTCATGTTATCATCAACGATCAAATGGCTACTAAATTCTGCCGCAAGGCAATCTTCACGAAATCCTTTTGAAACAATCGTATTTTGCTTGATAATTGCCTCAATTACATATGCTTCATTATTTAGATCCCTAATAGAATCTGATTTTTTTAAACAAGAAATTGATTTGGTTCAAATTATTTCTTACCCTAATACAAATGAATTTGTTTTCCTCTCTAAACGTGATTCTATTAGTCAGGCTTCACGAATTCGATTAAACCAAGTTATTATAAATACTCAACTTGACGAACCAGATACCTCAATTCTTCCTCATCAACAATCAATTATTCAAAAAAACCTTGAATCTCTGACCAGACTACAAGAGCTTGCTGAAAAAGAAATTTATGTTTCTGATGGGACAAATAAACTATATTATAATGATGATTTATGTTATAAGTTTCCTGGTGATTCATCATGTTTTTCCTTAACATATGCATCTGAAATCAATGTTACAAGGCCTTTTTGTCAACCATCGTCTTTTGTTCCTCTCACCGATGTTAATTGTGATGCTTCCACTATAATTTTGAATTACATTTTAAATGCTGATGGTCCTTACTTGGCTTATACTGATGCCTGGGTTGATAATATCGTCGATTTACGTGTCGGTCAACTTGCATCTACCGGAAAAAGACCATATGCTTCCGCTAAAAAAGGTTCCTTTGCTTGGTTTGCTTTCGCTATCAGTAGTCTTTTTTTAAAAATTCAAGATCTGATTCAGGTTTGTTTATTCTCTCTGCTTTATACATTTATGTTTTATTTTAAATTTATTCTTTTCTTTTGTTCAATAGCAAGCAGATACCATCGATATCTTAGTAATTTGTACCGGTTACGTATTGATGATTTCTACTTTCATTTTACTTTTCGTCCACATGCAGAAAATTGGTTCACGATTTGTTCTTGGTAATTTTTTTATTTTTTAATTTATAGTTTATCACATGTTCGTCTTTTAATTGTTATTCTTGAATAATATAGCTATATGCGTCTTGTCAAATGGTTTCTTTGCTTTCGCGTCGGCTTTTTTGACAATAAAATTGTTTGGTGTCACCGTCAATCCAATATTATTAAGGTATCGTATATTCTAATTTGTATTTATCAAATATAATATTGGTGACCTACTATAGATCAATAAACTTCATCAATATATTATACTTGATCCAAAATTTATATTACTTATATTTGACATTTTTCTAAATTTTAGTGAAGCGACTCCTTTCCTAATAATAACAGTAGGTTTCGAAAAACCTTTTGCTCTTACAAAAGCAGTTCTTACTGCAACTCCAACCTCTCAAATTGAAGATAGTAGATCTGTTACGATTCCTTTCAATAATGTAATGACTGGTGTAACTGAAGAAGGCCCAAAAATAGTTAGGGATTATTTTATCGAAATTGGCGTGTTATTCATCGGTGCTGTTAGTGGTGTTACTGGTTTACAAGAATTTAGCTTTTTAGCTGGTTTTATATTATTATATGATTGTGTGTTCTTGTTCACATTTTATACTGCCGCTTTGGCTCTTAAGCTTGAGGTAATTTCATATTTTACTAGTTGTTGGTTTTATTTATTTATTTATTTATTTATTTTGTTTTTTTACCCATATTATTTATTAATTATTAGTTGAAACGTATCCGTAAAGTTTTATCAACCGAAAAAATGGTTGAAAGAGATGAATTGCCAAGTAGTCCCACGAACCTAATTTTCATGCCTTTACAAGATAATAGTGCTGAAACCGAAGATGCAAAGAAATTTGATAATCCAATTATTTCAAGGGTTAAATTGTTAATTGTAAGCTTATTATTAATTAATCAATTCATTATTAATTCTCGATTTTATTTTAATATTTTACTTGAAATCCATTGTTTTTATAGATGATTGGTTTTGTAGTAATGCATGTGATGAACTTTTGCACAACTCTTCATACCGACGATGTCTCTTCAGCACTTCAAATCATGAAGACTGATCCTTATTATAATCCAACAACAATACCAATTCTAGATGTCATCCTTTCACAACATCGATCAAGCCCTAAAGCTTCCTTACCTTTAATTGTCGATGTGGCTTCTCCAATAATCTTTCGAGCTGTTCCAAGTGATGTAATCGGTAGTCAAACCTTCATTAAAGCATTCTACAAGATATTTGACACCATTTTGAACTATTGGTCTCTTTATGTTCGAGATTCAGTACTCTCACCATTGATCTTTATTGGATTAATTTTCTCTATCGTTTTGAATGGTTATCTTTTGAATACTTATAATCAATCAAAAACTAATGAAAAAACTTCTGATTCGGTTGCATCACCATCTACTTCCAATATTGCTTCTCGGGATGCACCTATTGAAAACCTTGATTCTCATAATAATGACTTAATAATTGATCCCAAATCTCCAACCGAATACGTCAATGTTCCTAAATCTTTAGATAATGACTTAAGAATTGATTCCAGACCTCCAACCGAATGTGTCAATATTCCTAAATCTTTAGATAATGACTTAAGAATTGATCCCAGACCTCCAACTGAATGCGTCAATATTCCTAAATCTTTAGATAATGACTTAAAAATTGGTCCTCGATCTCCAACTGAATGCTTAGATAGTTCAAAATCTCCAGATTTAAGTGATCCTACGATCATGTCTGATGAAGATATTCTTTTGCTGATTAGTAATGGCAAAATTTCTCCTTATAATCTGGAAAAAATATTAAAGAATAATGAACGAGCTGTAAAAATACGTAGAGCCTTTATATCACGTTCCTCAATCACAAAGACATTGGAATCTTCAGCGTTACCTATAGAAGGTTTCGATTATTCAAAAGTTATGGGTACATGCTGTGAAAATGTTATTGGATACATACCAATCCCTCTTGGAATAGCAGGTCCCTTAAAAATTGATGATGAACTGTTTCATATTCCGATGGCTACGACCGAAGGGTGTTTGGTTGCTTCAACTTCTAGAGGATGCAAGGCAATTAATGGTGGTGGTGGTGCTAAGACTGTTGTGACACAAGATTTGATGGCTCGTGGACCTTGTGTGGAATTTCCTAATATCATACAAGCTGGTAAAGCTAAAAATTGGTTGGAAAATGATGGAAATGATATTATAAAGCTGGCCTTTAATTCCACATCTAGATTTGCTAGGTTGAAGAAGTTAAAAGTTGCTGTTGCCGGAAAATTATTATTTATTAGGTTTTCTACAACTACAGGAGATGCGATGGGAATGAATATGATTTCGAAAGGATGTGAAAAAGCACTAAAAGTGATGAATGAACATTTTCCTGATATGCAAATAATAAGCGTCAGTGGAAACTATTGTACAGATAAAAAACCCGCAGCAATTAATTGGATTGATGGACGTGGAAAATCTGTAATTGCAGAAACAATTATTCCTGGTGACGTTGTAAAGAAAGTATTGAAAACCAGTGTTGAAGCGCTTGTGAAGTTGAATATCTCAAAGAATTTAGTTGGAAGTGCGATTGCAGGTAGTGTTGGGGGATTTAATGCTCACGCCGCAAATATCGTTACCGCAATGTATATTGCGACCGGACAAGATCCGGCACAAAATGTTGAAAGCTCAAATTGTATAACGTTAATGGAAGCTATAGATAATCCAGTGACAAATACAAAAGATTTACACCTTACATGTACAATGCCATCAATCGAAGTAGGAACAGTAGGAGGAGGAACAATATTAGGACCACAGAGTGCTGTGCTAGAAATGTTGGGTGTAAAAGGACCTCATCCAACAAATCCGGGAGAAAATGCGAAAAAATTGGCGAGAATTATATGTGCCAGTGTTATGGCGGGAGAATTAAGTTTATGTGCCGCACTGGCTGCTGGGCATTTAGTTAAAAGCCACATGACACACAACAGAGCTACAGTTGGACATTCAAATCCACACGGTATATCAAATGCAACTACAATACCACATTGTTCTGGAATAGGAAACATATCTAATTCAAATACATCTATTCCAGGATCTTGTTTAAATTCATAGATTTTAACAAAAATTTAAACAAAGATTTAAACGAAATAAAAACCGAAATTAATCTCAAGTTTTATAATTTTCAGGGATATAATGATTTGTAGCATTTCGTGTTCGCGAATAAAACTTTTTGAATCGTTCATTATTCGGCAAATAATAATGATTTTAGTCGATTTAGCATTAGCCGATTAAGTTAGTCGATTCTTGATTGAGAGTATAGGAAGAGTCGGAAAATTAAACTTTATAATAGTGTGTTGATGGAAAAATTCGGAATATATTATTACACATACTAAAGGAGAAAGACTTTGTCAACAAATTTAGGTCGATCGTGCATGCTTAATAATTAACCAATCATATTCATTTAAAACCACATGCTTGAGATTTTAAGTCGATTTTTAAATATTGATTTAGTCAAGTCGATAAATTTGGAGTCAACTATGGACACTAGCAAATAGTATCGAATAATTTTATTCATCAGATGAAACTCTTGGGTTCAGGATCATAGATAAAAAAAAAAATAGGCATGCATCAATAGACATGTGTTGGCTTGAGGCATGCTTATACCTTTATATAATTACATAATAAACTATTAATCAGTTAAAATTATTTCAAATTATTGTGTATAGTTTTTTAATTTGTCAATTTGAAGTTGAGTATATATTATTTGTAAATTAATAAATATATATTATTTTTTTTATAATAATTAATTTTTTAAATATTTATAACTTATTTATATATTAAGTATAAAAAAATATAAGGTATGATGACCTAGTGAAGTGAACAGGTTGTCAATTCTCAAGTAACAGGTCTAGTGTTTAATTTTTACAAATGATAAATTTTAGAAATTATATTTGTATTATAGTAACTGTCTTGTAATCAGTTAAAATTAGTATATCTGTAACTTGTAATTATTTTATTTTGAATAAGAACTCAGAGCATCTATATGAAATATAATATTACACATATATAGAGAAATGTTAATAACCAGTATTATATAAAATTTCAATGCAAACTCTTTGCAAATCTATAATACAAAAATTAACTAAAAAATTTGTCTGTCTAAAAACACTTATAACTATTTATTTTACTAAAACAACTTGTTTTGAACTCTTAAGTAAATTTGTTCAGCTCATTATTTTACATATATTTTGTAAATATTAAGTTTTTATATTTCAAATTTATTAAGAGAACTGTATTAACAGTTTTTGGTCTTCAGTTTATACCTTTTAATTATCTTGCAGTTTCTACTACCTTAACCTGTTTTATACTTTTAATTAAAGTTGTAGTACACAGTTATTCAGTTAAAACAAGCTTTAAACAAAGATTTTTGAACTAATATTAGTCAAACCACAACCAAATTTAATATTTACTCTTTTGTAAAACTTTTTTTTTACTTTTTGTTCTTATTCTATTCTTTTTTCTCTTATATGTTTTTTATGTAATCATACAATCATTTCTAAATTCATATCTTATTAATTTATACTAACATCTTATAATCAATCTATTTATAGATATTCATTCAATCTAATTTATTATTATTATATTTGGTTCTTACTTATATTATATAACAATTTGTATTCAGTATCTAAGTCATAGTAGTAATTCTAATTATTCTAGTTATACTCTAGTATTATTTCAGTAATATCTTCATAATATAACCCTTATTTTTATTTACTATCCTTACAAAATTAATACTTACAATCATATTTGTTATTTAGAAAATTTTTTTAAATCTTTATTTTCTTTTTCTTTTTTCTTATTTAATTTGTAAATATTGAAAATGCTTACATTAACTTATCAAGAATCTGATACTACAAATCTTGATTACTTTTACCAAAATTTCTCTAACAGTTTTGAAATCACTCTTTATAAAGAAGAAAATAACAACAATACTCATTCAATCTTTCTCAAAATTCAACCAACTTCTTATTTAACAAAAAATCTTAGATTATATAAGATTATATATTTTTTTTAAACTTTCTCTTCTACCTTTATGATTACTTATTTTTGTAACAAATATTATACTAAATTCATTTCACATAATGTAATAAAATTTACTAAAAACTAACAAACTATAGCAAATTTTAAAATGATGAATGTCAAGTAAAAGATCTTTTATTTAAAGAAAAATAAAATAGATAAAAATAACTAAAAATAAGAAATAAATATTTAAAAATAGAATTTAAATTTAATAGCTTTATAATAGGCTGATTGTAGAGAAGATTTGACCTATTGTTCTTTTTGTATTAGTCAAGCTTAACAAATAGTTTATCCTTTACAAGGATTATCTGTGCTAAACTTAGAAGTATCTTAAGACACTAGAAGAGATGATTAGCAACAGATAATCAGGCTGTTCTAAGCTATATATAGTTTTTTAAATTCTAATAACATAAAGCTAGTACTTGCCAAAGTACTATTCACAAATACAGCTATTACTTTATGTTATTA